CTTGATGTCATTGTCTGTCCTGCCCGGAAGCTGGGAAGCCATGATGGACCACCTGCACTCGTAAAGGGGAAGAAGGGAGTCGGTTTTGCCATCGAGAAGAATCATGTATATCTCTTCGACTTGCAGAAAGCGTTCGCATTTTCTTGCAGAGGAGATCAAATGCGACTGATGGCATGCAACACTAGGAAGAGAAGAAAAGTGAGATATTTGAGACCTTAGAGGAGGACACATCTCACCTGCTTCCGATGGCGGCGAAGATGCTGCATATGACTCTATCTTCTTCTTCTGAGAACTCCCCATGTTTTATGTTGGGTCTCAAATAGTTGAGCCATCTGAGCCTGCAACTCTTCCCACATCTCCTCAGGCCTGTCAGAACAACAAACAACCAGGGTCACCACCATCCTCAGAACAAAACTACTCTCTCTCTCTCTCTCTCTCTCTCTCTCTCTCTCTCTCTCTCTCTCTCTCTCTCTCTCTCTCTCTATCTCTCTCTCTCTCTATATATATTAGACACAGTCTTACCAGCTTTGTGAGGAAGAGCAATCCAATTCCCACCAGTACCATACTTCTCTATGAACTCCTTCAGCTTGGTGTCTTCCTCAGGTGACCAAGGACCCTTCTTCACGTTGGCCTTGTCACAGCATGGAGTTCTCCCCATCTCCACCCGGATGCTTAATCCAAGGACATCTTCCCAAACTTCTCTTCGAGATATATAGATATATCAGTATGAGAGGTTGCGATTTGCAGCAGGTGGTGCTCACCACCCTCAGAGCAAGACACTGGCTCTAAGGAGAGAGAACAACACAGAAACGAGAGCCTGAGCTGAAACATATGGATGCTGAAAGGAAGTCAAAGGTTAGCCTGCCTGTTCCCATGACTTCGAACCTCCTGGTCTGGCTCTGTCTCAGCGCCAAAACTTACCATCATTCATATTAAGGCCATACCTGTACTTTCCCTCTCTCTCTCTCTCTCTCTCTCATGTGGGTCCGTTTGTCTTGACAAAATTGGTGGGACGTCCTCCAATGGCCAAACAGTAGGTCAAGAGCATAGGTGATGGAGAAGGACTAGGCTCAGTGACGAGACCCAACCTCATTTCCACAGCTACATGTGGGCATGTGAACTATACGGACCACTGTGAACTGGATCCATTAGGTTATGGCGTTCATGTACTTCCAACGCCTCGTTGGACTTCTCGTGTGATAGCTTCTGCAGCTCAACATTTCTCTCCAATATTCCAGTTTGAATCTTTATTCTGAAATCAAATGATGCCTTTAGCTTTCTAGCCGACGCAGGCAAACCTATGTTCATTGAAATTTATAGATCTCATAGATCATCAATTCAACTCGAATGTTTTAGTTTCGAGATTGACTCGAATCCAATATATATATATATATATATATATGATATAATTACTTCAGTCTTTAGCGACGTGCAATTATTTTCTTGATTTATGTTCTTTCATCTTCGACGAAGAGATTTTGTCAATACTAACCAACTATATCATGCAAATATCCTATCGTAAATTCTCATGGAATTTGGAATCGGATTCAGAAGTTAAATGGATCCAACCCAATCCGATTCGTCTGTAGTATCTAACACGAGATATCAGGCATGGATTCGAATTTTAGATCGATAAGCTTATTGGATTTGGAGTCAGGACCTTAATGTATCCATTGATATTTTCTTTTGGAATTTTCAGCGTTCTGAGTGACACAAATGTACACAGAAAAGATTGCTGTAATAGGGGGGAAGGTGTCTGGAAACTTCTTTTCACGTGGGAGTTACCTTTACGGTGCTTCCCTCGGTCCTCCCTTAAGGAATCCCCGTCACCGACAACAACAACCATCTCACGCTTCTCCCGGTACCCGAATCATCTACCCGTCTCGTGCTGAGACGCAGCCCGGCCCAGCATCTGGCCCACACCTTCTTTTCATCTCGGGATATTAAGCCAGGTAGTTAGTTAGATGTAAACTTAAAAAATTTATATTAAAATCTTTATAATTATGAAAGTAAAATATTTAATCTCATTTATTTTATTATAATCGATTTTATCGATACAATAATGACAACATGATACAAAAATGATTGAAAAAATAATAATTTTAATGATGGTGGCAGAAGATGGTATTGTGCGTGGTTGCTGTGGTGATAGTTGACGACAATAATGTGGTGGTTGACTTTATCGATGTTGATCCAAGCATCGACAATGAAGAGGAAGAAGAGGTAAAGAGATAAGACATTTGAGTCAGCATTGCACCGCTTTACCTCTTCTTACACTGCATTGTATCTGCATCAGAGTTGAAGGAGGAAAAGGAGGTAGGTGACGCGTCTGTGTCAGCACTACGTTTAAATCATCGGATAGTCACTGTGTTAAATGGTGCAACTGATTTGAGGAAGGGGTGAAGGGTGACAAGAAGGAGGGAGAGGTTGTAAGCGAGCTCGATGAAGAGACGTGCCTACTTTGAACTCTTAAGTTTTATCGAACATGCAAATGATACATACACCTTGACCACAACAATGTGTCGACCTTCTTTCAGATTAGGTTCATCTATGACCGGAGGGGATCTGATCAGGTGACAAGGATTAATTGCTGCATAAAATGAAGGCCCAAAAAATATAAATTTAGTAGCTGGAGAAACAACAAACCATCATCCTCCTTCTCTCTTACCTTTAACGTGGTGGGGGAGAGTATAGAAATATGGAGGCAATGGAGAAGGAGGACGAGGGTTTGTTGTCTCTCTCACCGTTAAATATGCACTATTCGAACCTCCATTTTGTGCTGCAATCAATCCTTATTGTTCGATCGGATCCCCTTCGATCATAAGTGGAGTTGATCTAGAATGAGGTTGACAACCATGTCAGTATGGTCGAGGCGTACACATCGTTCTCACGCCGACTAAAGCTCAAGAGCTCTAAGTAAGCGTGCATCTTTACCAAGTTTGCTTATAACCTCTCCCTCCTCACCGCCCACCACCCCTTCTTCAAATCCATCATACTATTGGACGAAGCAATCATTCAAAGATTTGAGCATTGATGCAGATGAAGAGTGATGTCGAAAGAGGAAGAGGAGGCAGAGCAGCACGATGCTGATGCAAATATCTCACCTCCCTCCTCATTCTCTTGTGATGCCAACATAAATGTTTCATTGCTCTACCTCCTCTTCCCTCTCATTATCGATGTTCGGATTGATATTTGATAGAAATAATAGAAGATAAGAACAATATAATATAAGAAGCTTTATTGTAGAAATGAAATAGCTTTAGCTTAATACATTAACATGTTCCCTCTCCTATTTATATAGATTAGGAGAAAGGATTTCCCTCAACAGAATAGAGGATCTTTCTCAACAGAATAGAGAGATATCCTCGTATAGAGAAATCTTATCTTCTATCATTGGGGAAATCTTATCTTCTATCATGCCCCCGCAAGATGGTGCTCCTGACAAGGATACCAATCTTGGATCGATGCAAAGAATGGTTTACAAGCGAGAGGCTTCATGAGTAAGATAAGTGTAGATCGTTGCTGCTGCTGTGATTGTTGTTGTTGTGATGGCACAGGCGTTCCCTTCATTCTCCTTAAGTCCGCCGAATGTTGGCAGATCAACGAAGACTACCGCGGTGAGGAAGATGAGGATTGACCACGGAGCCTCTTAGGAATGCAATGGCGTTGGTCGCTGGCCGAAGGGTGAAGCTTCACTTTTCTCAGCGACGTTGGTCGCTGGCCGAAGGCAAGAGCGAAGCTTCGCTTTTCTTAACGACGTTGGTCGTGGTTGCGATTACGACGGCTGCGACGGTAGAGAAGAAATCTACAGCAATGTTGCAGTGATGCTACTATAGCAAAGGAGGAAACTGCAACAGAGGAGGAAGCTGTAGCAGAAGAGGAAGCTGTAATAGAAGAGGAAGGAAAATAGCTACAAAGAGGAAGAAATGTGGGGCAATGCTGATGAACGCAGCACTAGAGATGCCGTTGCGGAAGGGAAGTTGGTGCAGAGTGGCAATAGAGAAGATTGGCAGCAAGAAGAGAGCTTGCTCTAGGCAAGCGGCTCTGATACCATGATAGAAATAATAGAAGATAAGAACAATATAATATAAGAAGCTTTATTGTAGAAATGAAATAGCTTTAGCTTAATACATTAACATGTTCCCTCTCCTATTTATATAGATTAGGATAAAGGATTTCCCTCAACAGAATAGAGGATCTTTCTCAACAGAATAGAGAGATATCCTCGTATAGAGAAATCTTATCTTCTATCATTGGGGAAATCTTATCTTCTATCAATATTGATAAGGTTGACCACTATTACAAAAGCCATCGGACGCTATCGTTTATCACTATCATTAAAATTATTATTTTATCAATCATTTTTATGTCAATTATGCATGTCCCATATCTCTCGACACTAAAGTTGATGATGTTAGGATAAAAAAATTAAATGTTTTATTTTTATAATTATAAAAAAATTAATATAAAATGTTTTAATTAAATGTTAAAGGTACGTACACCGGGTAAATAGGCGGAAAAGGCCGGTGGCATGCGGCAACACGGTGAGTTCCAGTTTTGCGCGTTATGGAATCACCTCCCGCCCTCCGTCCCACGTCGACAGCTGGCCGGGGTATTCCCGTCATTTCGTTTCCAGCGTAAGACGGTCCCTCGTTACAACCGGAAGCCGTTCAAGACCCCATAACGGCGTAATTTGTGCTCGGACCGATGATTATGTTCCGCTACCAACGATCGTAACAGATTCGTATCCCGTTAAAAAGGGTCCCTACGTCAAGGTGATAGTCCCACGTGCATCGCACTCTTCCGTCCCATGCATGCATGCATTCATGCTTGATGATGACGATGAGGATGACCGAAGAGTAAAAGCGAAACATAAACAAAGCCAAAGCATGATTAATAGTTGGGATCCGAATCCGGAATCGATTTCGAGTCCGTATCCGAATTCGAGTCCTAACATTCCTTATATATGCATACGGCCACCAAACCCCCGGGAGTGCGAGCAGCGGCGAACGCTATGGGTGAGGTGAGGCAAGGCAGGGCTGTTCTTCTTCAGCCTTGGCGCTTTCGGTTGCGTCTCTTTTGTAATGTTGTTGTTTGCTTGATTGGTTTGTTTCTGAAATGGCAGGAGAAGGAGAAGAAGGGGGACGGGGAGAAGAAGAAGAGAGGAGGAATGGAGGAGGCCGTCGAGGTGAAACTCGACATGCACTGCGAGGGCTGCGCCCAAAAGGTCCGGAAGGCCGTCAAGAAACTCGAGGGTAACAACACTCGTTCGACTCCCCTCCCGTTCTTCTCTCAATCTCGGTGCCACAAAAGATTTGAGATCGATCGAGATGTGATTCCCTCTTTTTCCTTCCTACAAGGATTTTGCAAGGGGAAAAGGAACGGTTTTGAGGTTTCTTGGATCTTGTATTCCTCGCTTCCATTGCACTCTAGCAAACACTCACACAACACAGAAAAAGCAGAGAAAAAGCTTTATGTAGTTTCCCTTTCATCTAAACTTCGAACTATGAATTCTTGCAGTCTAATCCACCACTCTGTTCCTGATTCTTTTCAATCAGAAGTGGAGTGCGTGGACAGAAGAAAAAGATGTGCAAATTTAGGGCGAAAATGATGTTTTGTTATGAATCCAAGTCGGTCCTTCTAAATCTTTCTTCACACATTCGAATTGGACAGCGAATTAGGATAAATACAATGCGAGAGACTTAGCGACCAACGGTTGCTCTGTTTGAGAGAACAGGACTCACAATTCACTTCAACTTTCCACCGCGTGTCCGCAGGAGTGGAAGCGGTGAGCGTGGATCCCGCGAACAACAGGCTGAAGGCGATCGGAAAGGTGGACCCCTGGAAGCTAAAGGAATTCCTGGAGGCCAAGACCAAGAAGAAGGTCGACTTCATCTCCCCCAAAGACCCTCCCAAGAAGCCCAAGGGCGACGAGATGAAGAAGAAGGACGAAGATGCCAAAGACAAGAACCAGAAGAAATCATCCAACGACAAGAAACCCAAACCAGTAAGCAATTGGTCCACGCATTGATTTCATCCATCTCCGTTTTTTGCTTATGGATCTCTTCAAATTTGTTCCTGGAATGATCGATATAGCCTGCGTCCTCCACGGTGGTGCTCAAGATTCGCGTCCACTGCGATGGCTGCATCCAACGGATCAAGAGACACATCCATAAAATTAAAGGTAAACTCGCTTCTCTCCAGATTTGAACACCCGCAGTCGTTTACCGACTTCTTCCGTCGGATGGGAGCACGTGAGCTTATCCGACGGTTGTATAATCCTATGAATTGACAAAAATGCCCTCAGGTGTGGAGGAGGTGACGGTGGACGCGGCGAGGGATGTGGTCACTGTCAAGGGCACCATGGACTTGAAGACCCTCCCCGCCGTCCTCGAGGACAGGCTGAAACGCCGCGTCGAGATCGTTCCTGCGAAGAAGGACGACGGCGGACGCGGCGGCGAGAAAAAGGAGAAGGGCAGCGGAAGTGGAGGAGAGAAGAAGAAGGAAGGCCGTGTAGAGGAGGGAAACAAGGGAGAGACGAGGACGACGGTGGCGGAGGCGAACAAGATGGAGTACTACGGGCCGCATGGGGGATTCGAGGGGTACGGTTACTTCATGGAGATGGTTCACGCGCCACAGATGTTTAGCGACGAGAACCCCAATGCGTGCTCCGTCATGTGAAGCCCGTGTGCTCTTTAGACATTCTATCGGCAGTTTATAAACGAGAAATGTAGATAACAATAATACAAAAGTGGTTGCAGGAAAAAGAAATCAGAATGGGGAGAGAGAGAGACAGAGAGAGAGAAGGGAACTTCATTTTTGTTTAATGCATGTGTTCTATTCTGAAAGTTTTGGATTTAAGTTTGGAATTATACGAATTCAGCATGTTACATAATTCATCACTCATCTAAATCTGCATCTGAATGCGTACCTGCTGGTGTTTTGACAGGTATGTTTACCTAACATCCACTCTCTTCTCACCCTCGCATTAGATTTGGTGGAAGTCCACCACAGTCACACTAGAACTTATGATGGTCCGTGTGCTGAGCTGACAGTGTTTGTGGAGATGAAACTGGAAAAGTGGGAGGACGAGATCAAATCTTTCCTTCCATGGAGGATGCTTCCTGGAAGTTGGCAGTGTGGCAAAGGCGAGGGGACTCACCGATGGCGAGCACATATAAGAAGAAGAGTAAGAAAAGTTAATGTTGCTCCTTCCTTGCTCCTGAAAAGCTGCTGCAGCTGTTGCTCATCATCTTTTCCTTCCTTTTCACCAGCAGTCGCTCTCACCACCTTCCTCTGCTTGCTGTTCATCACCTGCTTGCTGTCTTGAAAACACAAGTTCTCATTTATAATTATGATACATATCTCAATTTTTATACAAACATATATACGTCACATAAATCTATGCTAACCTTTATCATGGGCACTACTTTAGACCTAAATCATGTTCTTTTCCTATAACAGTTCCGCGCACTTATGCACGTTGATTGCACTTGCACTAAAGGAACCAAAACCACGTACGTCACTAGCAAAGAAGTCTACGTAGGTAAAACTGGATCAAGTTTACATTGTAATGGCTAACTTCGGTATAACAATAAGATTGCTCGCTCATAGTTACATCGAAACCTATATGCGATGACCCAATTGTTTCGTGCATAGGATGGACCGCATCTTATTGAAGCATTATATATATATATACGTGTATGCGTGCGTAAGATAGTAGTGACGACTCCACCGAAAGTGTAGGAAGTGGGAGTACCATTAGGGCGTCACACGTCAGCCTCCATTTTGGGTTGGAAAGGGAGTGATGGAGACCGGTCTACTAAGCCCGGGCTCGCGCGTAAGGCGGAGCTTCTCGCTCGCGGGTTTCGGATCCGATCTATTAACGGGTCGGCTCCTCTGTCCGACAAGCGAGGTCATGATGCGGAGCGTCATCGGGGCGTGCGAATGGTGGTGGTGAGAAGGCGATGGGAGCGAGAAGCTTTATGTCATATAATTCCAAACCTAAATCCAAACATGCTGAATTCCAAACCATTAAAATTAGTTATTATGAGCTAAAAAAATCACAATAAGATGTTTATAAAGGATATTAATTATTTTTACTAATATTTAAATAGCATTAACCGAAATAGATTAATTATAGATAATTTTAGGTTTAGAAAGATCACGCTAAGCTTAAATACAGAGGAAAAATACCGTTCAAGTTGCGTGGCGGTTGGTATCCTGACTCACAACAGAGGGTCCCAGCGGAATAAAATGATTTATCTACGTCTCATGTAATCGTAAAAGAAAGATCAAAAGATAAATATTAAAATAATCAGTTATTAATTATAATGCGTATAAAAATGTGTCAAAATAATAAACGAAAACCGACGGGCAGGACGGTCTTCGGAGCGGTGGGTGACGCGGCCACAAGCGTATCGACCGTTGAAACAGGAAGAGCACGAAGCTCAAAGCCTTTCGGTCGAAGTTTAGGGCCGACCACGAGATGACGATCATATTCCGCCCTTATTTAAACCCGCTCCGATTTCTGCTCTCCGCGCTCGACTTCGCACATACAGTCGACCCGGTCGAGCGAGCCCAGTGTTCGTCTCCTTTGGGATTCCCCTCCCGTAGAACTCGGGCGCCCGGCCTCGCCTCTCTCGCAGATGGGCTGCTCCTCCTCTTTTCCAGGTTCCCGATCTCTTCTTCCTCTCTTAGGGTTTAATCCATTCTCCTTCTTTATCCTTTCTCGATTACTCCATTCCTTCCATTCTCAGGTACGGCTGTCCCTTGCCAAAAATTCGGATATTGATCCTCGTTGTAGTAAGATAGGGATGCATTTCTTTCAGTCGTCAAATATCTGAATCCCTCTCTCTCTCTCTCTCTCTCTCTCTCTCTCTATTTTGTTTTCTTTTCCCTATATGAAAGATTGGCGTTGCGAATTGGGGTATATGGGGTTCGATCTTGACACATTTGTAGGTATGGTTGTGATTTGTATCATTAGCTCTCACGATGGTAGTCGCTGCAGTAACGGAAAGATCCGAGCTTTTGCGTTCAGTGCGCCCGTTTGCTTAATTTGTGCGAGGAGCTGCATACTGGGATATTAATGGTGATCAAGATATGCGCCAAATGTTATTTAATTAGGAACTCATTTTGTGATTGTCTGGGGAGGATTTTGTAGACTTCGTGCATTTAATTCTTGCACCGTTCCATTCTTTTATTTGAAATATTTCCGAGGCTTATTTCCTCTGTTGTCTGGCTTTGTTAGATTGATTAAGCGTTTTCTTGCATGACGTGGTGATGATATAGGGTCCTAGTATGGGCTTATAGTTTTGTCGTATTTAGTCAAATTTGATCAGGTTGCAAACATGGCAGTAAGATCGAGGAGAGTTTGTACGAGTATGAATTGGTTGCAGACTATAGGTAGATGGACGGGGTAGGATCTAGTTACTAATGTATTGTAATCATTTGTCATTGAGGCATATGAGTTGGAGGGTAAGGAGGAAGGAGCGGATGGTGTGAAAAGAGGGATGGATAAATCTGAAAAGGGGAAAGATCTAGAAGCTGTTGCAGCAGGATTTCATGTGGTTAACAGGTGTTGTCTATTTAGTTTTCAGGTCATATAAAGGTTGTGTTTGTATGAGTTGCCAGGATTGTTGAAGTGGACGAAGAAGAATGAGAAACGAAATTTCTCTTGGAGAATACAGATAAGCCTTAATTTATCACATTCTTGATAGCACTTTGGTTGTGAGGTCAGTGAAACCATCTTGCAACTAACATAGCTGACATCCCAAGGCTCAGAAATACTATATGCTATGTAGTTTTTATTTTTTTAATGAATTTTCTTTTTGAATTGTCGACGTGATTGCTTGAAAATTACATGAGGACAGCATTTTACTTCAGATTTAGGTTCAGTGACCATCAATACAAGGCATATTTGAATAATTGGCCATATGAATTCTTCCATCTATTAAATCCCTAGCATAAGGTGAGAACAACCAGCGGACTTAACTTTTTCATCAAAAGCTCTCTATATGCAATAATTATGCAAGTTTTTGAGCGATGAAAGCTAAAATTTTTTTGAATCTCTAATGGGAAACAGAAATTCAATTAGATACCATGCTGGTGATGCCTTAGACTTCCTTGGAGGAAGTGATGAATATTCTTTATCCTTAGTTCCTATATTCAACTTGATCCAAATGATATGTTCTTTAGGTTATCAAATGTGTATCCATCCTTTCAAAGCCGTATGATGCTTGTTCCTAGTATATTATTTGGCTATCTTGGAAAACAACAGAAATAGGTATGCTCAAGTTCTTTTCCAATAGTAAATAAAAGCTATAGTCATATGGTTCATACTAGGGAGAATAACAGACAGTTTAATGTGTCTTCCTTGAGTGACTATCTTGAAAATTTAGACAGTTACTATGAGCTATCTTTTGCAATATCATGGTTATTGTTGTTCACAAATTTTCTTGTCAACTCAACCATTTAAGGCATTTTATAAATATCTGTATGCGAGTAGCACTTGGTGTTTCCATCACGTGAAGCATTTTCCTCAATATTAAATATTTATTTGATGACAATATAAGTAATTTATATGTGAATCTTTTGGCAATAAACAGAAAGACATGCTGGAAGGTTGGGCAGTTTTAATAATAAAAACTTGATGGCTACTGACTCAAAGTGCTTGCGTGTCAAGGTATGCTTTGTCTTTTCTGTCCTATCATAGCAATATACTTTGTACCATGCACCCTGTTTTCTGTTTTGGTACTACTGATCTGTTTGAAAGGAGAACACGTTGAGAATATGCATCTAATTCTTGGACATATCTGTGCTGACCAATATCAGCAACTTCATGTATCACGATAAGTAATCCTTGTGACGGACTTGGAGAATCTTATCAGTCAAATTTTCCTTAGCATATAATCATATTTATTTATCTTTTGTAGCTTATCATATTTCATTGTGACAGTCATCTTGTGCATGATTTTCCTTGTCTTAGCAAGTCCTTTGCATACCATTGAAGAGAATACTTGGTAGTTATATTCACTGACTTCGGAAGACATGCCTATCATATATTAACTATTTATGCAAAACAACAAAGTGAATAGGATAGATAAGAGTTGTATGCGATCTGATTACAAGGCTATAGTTAGGTTTCACTATCTTGCAGTTGACTTACTGGAAAATCAATTTTTCCTAACATTTCAAACCTCACAACAAAGTACAAACAAATATTTTTTCCGAGACAATCACTATACAGATAAAACAAGCAATTCAAATGTATGTGTTTCCTTATAGAATACATTGTTTGAGTAACAGTGAATCTAATATGAACAGATCCTGGGTGATCTTTGATGACTGCAAACAATGGGGCTCCCTGGAACTTCTCTCGAGACTTGACTTTCCACAAATCAAGCACCGATATGATAGTCATAGTTCCTTGCAACTCAACTTCTGGTTTACTATTTTTTTTGTACTTTTGGTGAAAACAAAATGAGCTTTTCAAATATTTGATTCTAATTATTTTGTCAATGCCATTCCTGAGATGGTTCCTAATTTGGATTTATCATAGTTCAGTGTGTATTTTATGTAAGTTGTCCTCAATTTATTAGTTCCTAATGATCCCTTTCAGTGAGACATGCTCCACCGTCTTCTTGTTTGGCTCCTTCGTGTCCCCTAAGATTTAATTTTAAGTTTTCCTATTCAGTTCAAGCAATTCTTTCAGAGTTTCAATAGTTTCTTTATGGATACAGTTTGAGTGTGTTTCTTTGCACATAGTGCAGAGATGGAGCTGGGCCATTGTTTATGTTGCCTGTACTTGCTAATATATGCATGAGTCTTCATGCATTGATGAATCTGACGCCTTCTATTTGCTTATACGTTGGAACTTTTTATCGATTTATTTGCATGCTTCTGAAGGCATCAGCTAAATGTGATTGATCTTAATTTGTAAGATGAGAGTGAACTTGATCTTAATTAACCTTGTGGAACTTTTTATTCTGAAGGCATCAGCTAAATGTGATTGATCTTAATTTGTAATATGAGAGTGAACTTGATCTTAATTAACCTTGTTTATTAAGAATTTGCATTTAAATATTAAATTATCATTTAATAGTTTGCCAAAGTAAAGTTGGCCAAACCTTTGTTTGAAACGTGCTGTTTGTCTTGTGAATGAATTTACTGCATAATTGCACGAACTGACTGATTTTGATACCAGTGATATCTCTGTCTTTGCAGTTAGTACTGTTGGGTGATTCTGGTGTTGGTAAAAGCTGCATAGTCCTTCGGTTTGTTCGTGGCCATTTTGAACCTACTTCAAAGGTAATCCTTTATACAAATACTAATCTAACAATTCTGAGTATTGTGCCTGTGTTGACAATACCATCATGTATGGAGTACTATCTCAGTAAAATTAAGCTTTCAATTGGACAGTTGAAACAAGATATAGACACTTTTGGAACATCAGGTCTATTTTTCAGCAAGTGACGTTGAAGAAAATGTTGATGATAAAGATAATGAGATGGTTCAAAAAGAGAGCTTCTTCTCCTGTAAAGCTCATTCCCATTGCTCAAATATCTCTCTGATTAAGAGAATTTTGTTAGGTAGTCATAAGTCCTCATCTGTCTTCAAGTGATAAGTAAAATGCCTCTTCTACTGTATACAGAAAATTCATTTGAAAGTCAAATGCCTCTTCTACTGTATATATCCCCAGATACTAGAAGAAATTTGGCAAGCCTTCAACGTGTGAAAAGATATCTTATGGAAGAGTTGTTGGAGTTCTTAATCTTTTATGTGTGTAGGTTGTTGTTTAATCAATACTTGAATCAGCTTCAGTTGAATTTTCAACTTAACCAACGTTTTCTATTCGGTTAATCATCCTTGGTTTCCATATCTTTGGATCTTTTTTCTCCATTGGTTACAAAATGTCTCTGCTAGAAAGCTAAACTTATATTTGTGCTTATAAGTTATATCTTCCTCATTTGAGTTTTCTACACTTAAAGTGATCATCTTTCTAGTTACTACAACACAGGAATCCTGGTAATTTGTTAATGCTATGTATTTGTAATTCTGAACAATAATTAGGTCCAAGTTTATTCTATAATCCAACAGGTTCTATATATGATTAAAATGTAGTCTTAAAAAAGAGCCTTCAGATGATATGGTGTGTCGAGTATGTGCAATTTGGACAGTTGTTCCTCTTCGTTCACTGATAGGTTACTACTCGCGGTAAGCCAGAAGCAATAGTTCAAGATGGAGATTGCTATGCATATTAAACCAATCAAAGACTTGCACTTGCACAAAACTTTTGGATTACTTGGGGATTTTTATGTTAACAAAGAGGAAGTGCAGGAAAAGTTTTATAGGTATAAGTGGTCAGGAATTGGTTTCTTGTTGTAGTTAGTGCACGTCCAATATAATTTTTAGCATGGTTCACCTTACCACTCCGTACAGGTGTGTCGACCAGCTGTAAGTGCAGTATGTACTGAGCCATACCGACACATGGTACATGAGAGTGTACGAATATACCACCCGTACCGGTCCCTTATCAGACCCGTATGTACCACCCCGTATTGAGCGGTATACTGTGGTATGACGAATCTTGATTTTTAATATATTCTGTTAGTGCTTCTGTTTTGTTATCGTAGTTTCTTCTCTCTTGCAACATGTGATAAAATGGTTCCTTTTAATATATGTTGCTTCTGATTTGGTTCATTTAGGTAACTGTTGGTGCTTCCTTCTTATCTCAAACATTGGCCTTGCAAGACTCCACATCGGTGAAGTTTGAAATATGGGATACAGCAGGACAGGAGAGGTGCATGATTTATGTTTTTAGAGCTCTATTTGGATCAAACATGTGTGTTTTGATGAAACATATGCAAGTATATATGGATGACATTCCTGTTTTTGTTTTTGGTGCCTAATTGTAGATACACATTTTGTAGATTCCAAAGTATATAAATCTCCCAAATAAATTATGTATTCTGAGGATGTTGTTTTTCCAGGTATGCTTCACTGGCCCCTCTTTACTACCGAGGAGCAGCTGTTGCACTTGTGGTATATGACATAACAAGTCTAGAAACATTCAGAAAAGCACAGTACTGGGTTAAGGTATCATACGTCTTTTGGGTCTGGACGGATTTGCTTCTTTCTGTGCTTATATAAGTTCTGCTTGTTAATTCTCAAGTTTAAGTGGATGGTATAAGTTATTACTATGGTTAAAATGCAGCAGATATGGTAAGATTTCATTTTACAGCCTACCAAAGCCTGTTAAAGTGATATATGATAGTAGTTCTATTTTTCCTTTTTTCACATTTGTTGCCGCCACTAACATACCAAGATTAGCTGACTTGGTAGGACCATGCTTTGCAGCAATGCATAACAACTGAGAGTGTCATCCTTGCAGAAATCATTCTTGTACTTGGAAAAAGAACATAAGCAAGTTACAAGGTTTCTTGAAGTTACATAAGCATCAATTAGAAAATTCATTTGAAAGTCCAATGCCTCTTCTACTGTATATATCCTCAGATACTAGAAGAAATTTGGCAAGCCTTCAACATGTGAAAAGATATCTTATGAAAGAAATTTGAGTAGTCCTTAATCTTTCATGTGTTTAGGTTATTGTTTAATCAGTACTTGAATCAGCTTCGATTGAATTTTCAACTTAACCAACCTTTTCTATTTGGTTAATCATCCTTGGTTTCCATATCTTTGGATCCTTTTTCTCCATTGGCTACAATATGTCTCTACTCGAAAGCTAAAGTTATATTTGTGCTTGTATCTTCCTCATTTGAGTTTTCTATGCTTAAAGCGATCATGTTACTACCACACGGGAATCCTGGTAATTTGTTAATGATATGTATTTGTAATTCTGAACAATAGTTACTACCAAGTTCAGTCTATAATCCAACAGGCTCTGCATATGATTAAAATGTAATCTCAAAAGAAAGCCTTCAGACATTGTGGTGTGTCGAGTATGTGCAATTCAGACAGCTGTTCCTCTTCATTCACTGATAGGTTACTACTCATGTCAGTCTGATAGAACATGTAAGAGATTTAACTCAGTGATTTGGTATAGCTGTTCGGTTTACTTTTTTTTTTTTGCAAAACAAAAAGGAAATCTATTAAGACTTCAATGTACGACAGAATGACCTGTTTAGATCATTATACAAAAGGGCTACAAGATCGGGTGGGTAGGGATCCACCCATTTTGAGCTGGATTTTCCAGATCTAGCATTGGATGCAGCTCAATTAGCTGCTTGGTTACATTCTCAATAACAGTGAAGGAACAGTTTAAGAATCTACCATTGACAGGAGGCCTTTGATGTTGCTGATAGTGCTTTATATATTCCACAGTGGATCTGAATCTTTGGTAAGTATATCATGGAGCAGCAGCGAGTCGGTTTCAACTTGAATGGTTGAGAAGCCACCCATAATGGTAGCTTGTAGCCCAGCTTGCATTGCCAATGCTTCACATTGTGCAGGAGTTTTATTGGCAACATATTCCTGCCCAGCTAGTTTACATGAACCATCATGATCCCGAAGAACATAGCCAAGTCCACCTTCCTGCAGTAAACAGGAGCCATCGGTATTTAATTTAACCTATCCCTAAGGTGGTTTGACCCATTTAACCCATAAATAGTTGCTCATTCTATTTCCTTCAGGCTGGGTTGTGGATCTAGCATGATAGCTAGTGAAGGATAAAGCTTGAGACGTAGTTCAAGTAATAGAGGGGAGTTTTCCTTTAAATAAGGTAGAATTCCACGCCTTCCAGATAAAACATAATTGATTTTCAATACTAGCTTGGAAAAGTTTCCCAACTCTGATCATAGCCTTCAGGGAGCCAGTCGCCTAAAGCCCAAGAGTCTTTTGATTGGAAGGAGTCAGGTAAATTGTGTCCCCAACAATCCCATAGTTTGATTGAAAAAGGGCATTCAAAGAAAATATGATCAATGGTTTTAAGGGAAAATGTTACATAGGGGACAAGGCTGCTGTGATCTCAAATTCAATCTTCGAAGTCTATCAGTGGTAGTTAATCTTTTGTGTAGAAGCTTCCAACAAAAAAACTGTATTTTAGGTATAACAGGAGTTCTCCACATGTTCTGCCAGCCGTACCAATTGGAATTATGAGGGGCACAGATCTGCTGTCTCAGGAAATTATAAGCTCCCCTAGCAGTAGTCTTAACTGTTTGATTTGCCTTCTAAAACCATTTATCATCACAAGGGGAATGAGCAACTTCTATGGAATTAATGTGACAAATTAAACTATTAACGAACATATCCAATAACAACTGAGAATCCCAGCTACCGGATCGGATAATAGCAGCAACAGATGCACCCGTACCGTCAAGGATGGAAGAAGGGTTTATGTACGTAGGTTTAAGATTCAAAGGCAAATAAAAAGGCCAAGGATCCTGAAGAATATCTGTTTGAAACCCATTTCTAATAATTTTGATAAAACCCAATTGAAGATGTAAAAGAGCATTCATAAAGAGATGCTAGCTCTAGCTGATGTGCCTAGATTCCAAAGGAAACCAGGGATTAAATGATCCATATTTGGCATGAGTAACAGTACACCAAAGACTATCATCTTTATTGAGATAACGTTGAATAGGAGTAACTTGAAGAGTATGCTTAAAAAGAGATCAATCTTGAACAGATAAACCATCCATATTCTTATCAGTAGTGACAATGTCCCAATTTACTAAGTGAATTCCTTTGGTGTCTAGATTCTTCTGCCAAAGGAAGTTTTTAATCAAAGTTTCAACCTTGTGAAGAGTAGACTCAAGAAACCAATTGACACTAAGTGTATGGATTGGGATGGAGTTGAGGACAGATTTAATAAGCACCAGATGGCCAGCTTGGGAGAGATAATTACATTACCAAGATGCAAGCTTTGATTTAAGCTTAAGAAGAGAAATAGATGCATCAAGATATTTGAAAGGAAATTGATCCTCTTTGAAACTAAGAGCAGATGTTAGCTCTAGTGTTTCTAGGAGTGGATTTAGGAAAATAAATTGCAGATTTGGAAAGAGTAACATGTTGGTTAGTTAAAAAATTGTATTTGTCAAAGATAGAATTAAAGTTAAGCAGGATTTTTGGTTATCTCTAAAGCATAAGAGAATGTCATCAGCATATATGATATGGCTGACTTTACAAAGGAATTAACTCTAAGTGGTGTAAGCTTAGTAGATTCAACTGCTTGAGAGAATAATTGAGCAAGGATCTGAGCTACTAGGATATAAAGATACGGAGATAAGGGATCTCCTTGTCTTACCCCACATCTACTAGTGAAAGAGTTGGACATATGTCTATTTATTAGATACGTAGTAGAGGAGGAAGAGATGCAAGCATTAATCCAATTAATAAATTTTAGAAGGAAAGTTCATAGCATTGAGAACCTTAAAAATGGAATCCCAAGATAATCGATCAAATGCCTTTTTTTAAATCAAGCTTAACTAAAACCAGAGGATTTTTCCCCCCAGAAGAGAACATAGTATGAGCAGCTTCTTGTGCAATTAAAATGTTACTGTGAATACTTCGATTTGGGAGGAAAATAGATTGATTATAGCTGATAATGTTAGATAAAAGAGGCTTTAATTGATTGGATATAACCCTTGCAAAAATTCTATAATTGACATTAGATAATGCAATCTGCCTGTAATGAGTAACATCAGTTGGATTCTTAATTTTTGGGATAAATGTAAGAAATGTTTTGGTCCAACTGATAGGAACATGCACATACTGATAAAATCAATTAAAAATATTAAGGAAGGAAGGTGCTAAAGTATCCCAGTAAGCCCCCTATAGAATTCACATGTAAAACCAACATGTCTTGGACTTTTGCCAAGACCTAAAGAATGAACAGAAGAGTGAATCTCTTTGAGAGAGAATGGTTTAATTAAAGATGAACTCTCAACAGAAGATAAGCTGGGAAGACTAGGCATAAAAGTATTAGGTTGAATAAAATGAGAGGTGCTTCAGAGTTTGGTATAGTGATTACAAAATATAGACACTCTCTGATTGGTATCATGAATTCAACCTATAGAAGGGTCCATAATACCTTTAACAAAGTTTTTGTGATGATGATGAGTTATTAAATTGTGAAAGTATTTGACATTCCTATCACCATCATTAACCCAAGAGCATTTGACTTTAGCCCACTGTTTAAGGTTAACTTGTTTAATCAAAGCTAATTGATAATTATGAAGGGAAGCAAGGTGCTGAACCTGAGAATCGGTAGGGTTACTATCTTCAAACTGGGATTCTAAAGCAATAATTGAGTCCTTTAGGAGATCCAAATTATGTTTTAATTTACCAACAGAATACCAATTTCAGTGAGAGAAAACCCTTCTCATCTTACAAAGATTTTGATGAAAAGAGTCAAAAGGGGAGTTTGAATTATGGATTGTATTCCAATTAAATTGGACAATATTGCTAGTTTCTTGATATTCCGGCCAAAATTTTGAAAACGGAAGAGTTTTGTACCAGAAGAATCTGAAAGCTGAATATGCACCTTAAGTGGTGCATGATTAGAACAAGCCTAAGGGAGATTGAAGATAGAAGATTGACCAAAGAGTTGAAGCCAAGAAGAGTTACCAAAAACCTTATCAAAACACACAAAAATCCGAGCATGACCCTTGCGATTATTACACCAAGTCTATTTGGGGCCAAAAACGCCTAAATCTGTTAAACCATAATTTTTCACAAAATCACAAAAACCCTGAATAGAAAGGTTGGTGTTAAAAGCACGTCCACCAGATTTATCAGAACTATGTAGAATAGAATTAAAATCCCCTAAGACGCACTAAGGTATTTCAGAGAAATTTAATGCAGAAAGATTTGTCCATGAATTATTGTGTAAAAGGACAGAAGTACTAGCATAAAGTCCAGTTAAAAGCCACGGGTTGCTATTTTGAAATTGAACTACATTATGTATTAGCTGTGATTGGAGAGAAAGCACCTGGACATAAGCAACAAGAGAGAACCAAGCAAGTCAGATTCCACCCGAAGCACCGGTAGTGGGTTAAGAGATCCTGCGCAAGTCCTTCCCAAAGCTTTGGATTAGCCTTTGAGATTGTTCATCCGACGCATGAGTCTCCTATGAAAGGATTAGTGCAGGCTGGAGAAATAATTCCAAGAAATAATTATCATGATAAAGAGGTTGGAGAAATAGAAAGCTGTCTATGAATATCAGGAGGACAATTAATTGCAGAGAGCAAAATATCTTCAGAAATAGAATTGGAAGATTTAACCTTCTTATCCTTAATGGCCCTAGTGTTGGATTTCAAACTAGAGAGCGTATGAGCTCTCATATTTTGAAGTTTTGTAGTTGGGGTTTTACCTCGTTGGTCAACGAAATCATGTAGAAGATCAGAGTCAACATCTATCTCCACTTGTATAGGTTGAGCAGTAGAGTCATGCAGAGACTCTAATCTTGATATAACACGAGCAGCAAACTCTTGGGCCTCGAGAGGACCATCTGGGTTAGGTTGCAGAGTGCTTGAAGGGGTGGAAGATGAATTGGAATGGTTGGCTGGGTGAGAAGGGGGCATAGAGCTTTCAAGGTCCATAGGTGTATCAGGACCATTTGTTAGTAAAGGCATCACATGTGGCAACATCATAGAAGCTGAAGAGGTATTATGGGTCGGATCCATATCTGGCATTGGATCCTCCATATTTGCATCCATAGCATTTAAAATGGCAGTGAATGCAGTATTTCGAGGCACTCCCTCAGGCTCAAAAGACGTGATAGGTGAAGGGACAGAGCTATGACAATTGTTAGTAGCATTGGAAATTGGCGGTTTCCTTCTAACAAAGGACATTCAAAAGGCATTAGGCCAGATTGATGGTACTAGGGAACCATTACAAGCCATCACGACTTGCGGTTCCTTCATGTGAGTGTCATGTGTTGAAGTCACAAGCGGTTGCTTCGATGATTCTGTCGTTGCCAGCAAGTTTACTGTACCTTTTGCCGGAGTCTTCTTACAATAGGGACAACGCTGAAACCTGATCTAAGGACCATAAAGAACTTCATCATTCTCTTGAGTACCTGTCAAATTCGGTTGAGGCCTCTGAACCATAAGGTTAGGATCGTCATCCAACAATGTCAATGATGCAGGGGCAAATAGGTTGGAGGATTGAGAAGGAATAGTGCAAGCATCGGTGCGATGCCTTAAGCAACCACAATGATAGCACAAGGAAGATTTTTATAAGAAATAACCTGAAAGAAACCTTCATTGGGTTCACCAATCCAGAAACTCTGGATTGAAGGTTTAGTGATATCGATTTCAATGCAAATATGTGCAAAATGATCATGTTCAAGACGAAGAGATCTAGGATCAATTTTAATGGGACGACCTAGTAGAGAGGCAATCTGGAAGAGGGATTCCTCATCCCAGTACTCAATCAGAAGTGTTGATAGATGAATCCAAATAGGTGCAGTGTCAATAGAGGTGGTCGTAGGTTGGAAATGAGGGCGCCATGGAATAAGTTGTAAAATGTCACCATGGAAGTGCCAAGGTCCTTCAGTGAGGACACGAACGACATCAACCTTAGTGTTAAATTTGAATAGGAAAAACCAAACTCAAAATCCACAACAGTAGGAGGAACATCCAAAGACCAGAGTTTAGAAATAGTAGCCTTTAGGATAGAAAGTGTAGGAGGTCACTGAAGAAACTTACCAATCAAATCAGAAGACCATGGTCGATGCCAGTTTTGCAATTGTTCATCCTTGAACTTGATCTTGTCGAAGATGGTGATTTATGAAGGTTGCCGATATCAACGATCGAAGGAGCGAAGGAGGTAGTGAGGACGAAGGCCTAGGAAGCACGACGAGGGATAGTGGAGGAAGCCCTATCAGGGTTGGGAGGTTTGAGGGGGATATCGGGATAGCCTTGAGGGCAAGAGGAACTGAAGGGGGAAAGGGCAAGACTCTCATCGCGAGGACCAAGCTATAGTCTATGTTTAGAGAGATCTTTACTTGCTCGGTTCTCTTTTAAGGGAACCGATTTATTGTGCTGAATTACATCATCATGTGGTAGTTCAACCAACTTAAGTGTGATTATGTTTTCTTTGAGAACTGAAACATGTTTTCCATTGATATTCCATAAGCAAACATGGATTCAAGTTTTCAGTATTTTTAGTAGAGATAAATATCTGGTGGAATTGCTTTTGTAGTTCAAGTAATAGAACCATCTTATACTTGAAAATGCATTACATATGCTGATCTTATTGTTCTATGGTTTTTGGGCTGCTTGATTATTGATATTGAGTTTACCAAGTTTTGTGGTTATTCATTATGCATTATTTCATCATTAATTATGCTGACACCTATAGGAGATAGATCTTGGTGTAATTATCAGGCTAGGTGGCTATATTGTGAGTGGAGCATCATAGGTTTAAATAGGCAAAAGAGCCTCTTAGCAAGTGGGGTTAGGTTGCATGTATATGGTCCTCATTAGACTCTTAGCAGCAGGAGCCTCTTGCAATAAATTGCCTTTGTCATCTCTTGCATCTATCTATAAGATGGATATACTTTGATCAGACTGGAATTATATGTCTAGCAGGAACTTCAGAAGCATGCAAGTCCTGGTATCATCATGGCTTTGGTTGGTAATAAGGCCGATCTGCATGAGAGTAGGGCTATATCGTTCCAGGTTGGGAGTGGCTTTTACTTGATAATGTGGATCTGCTTTGCTTTGATCAGATTATATATTTGACCTTGCAAGGAGATGACAATTGATCCATTTTGAAGGATGCTATGGAATATGCTGAGAAGAATGGTATGTTCTTCATTGAGACATCAGCAAAGACAGCTGACAATATCAATCAACTCTTTGAGGTACACATTAATGTAGAGATAACTAGGTGATCAGATGCCTTAAAGTGCTGTTTATACATTTGCATGCCACATGCATATTGGTTATTAATTTAAAACTATTGGATGAGAAAACAGATAAGCTGCTTGATGATAAGAAGAGGTTAACCTTCTTTGCTAATAATATATCTTATGATGTTTGGTTTGTGTTCATTAAAATGTTGTCATCAGTCTGTATGTTTCTGTAGAGTCATCCACTTGTGGATCTTTGTCTTTCTGCTAATTTATGACACAGTATCTCAGTCCGAGCAATGGGTATATCGAGTAGGTTTCAATGCTTAAAATTGTCATGTCTTGCATCAGGTTTTGCTTGAAGCTTAAACTTGAAGCATGTACAGTGAGCTGACCGAATCAGGGGTGGTCTCCTGTGGTAAGATTATCCTTTGTGATATCGAAATCAGAAGTCGTATTATGTAAGAAATGCAATCAACAAAATGCATCGTCTTTTTGAAAATACTTGTCCTGTTTGATCTACTTCACTTTCGTCATACTTGAATCATAAGATATGGTAATCTGAAACTTGTGAACTTTAAGAAGAAAGTATTTGTGACTTTCTGTTTACTAATGTTTGTTCTGATCCTCAAAAAATGTAGCTACCTTGCACCCTAACTTTTATCATGTTTCTTAGATTCATTGATTATATTAATTTTGATTCATGAGCTCTGATGCTTTAAGAGCTTTTTATTCTTATTTTTCACAATCTAATCTTGCTTTTCGTTTCCTTGAAATAAATGATCTTAGGTGGCTCTAATCCCAAAGGAGCTATACTGGTAATTTCTCTGGACATGATAACTCAATTATTCATATATATGTAACTGGTTTCATCGTCGGTTGCTTTTGTGAAACTTCGACTAGGGCCAAACCCAGCGAGATCCAACATCTCAGCAATATGCATCTGCACAGTTATTTGCTGTGAGCAACATTCCTTGTTATTTCAGGAGATTGCAAGGAGGATTCTTCGGACATCTTCCTAACCATTATGTGGATCCGACTCACATGAGATTAACTATTGCTGTGTAAAATCATAGTATATTTGTTTCTAATATTGATTATACTTGCGTGGCATTACTTTACAACTACTATCATACATTTCTTTTATTTTAATAATGATATTCTTAATCTCCATTTCAAGATATCCAAATTTACTTGGACCAGATGATATTGATTGCACCACATTGATGGAGCTAATAATTAATATACTTTTTCTGTCACCATGGTTTCAAGTTAGATTGCTTATATGTGCCACTGGTTCTTTGACAAGCATAGGACCTGTGAGATGCATATGAAAAGTAATATTAGGAAACACAGGTTAATATTATTGCATTTAAGTCTTAATATTCTTGAAAAAATATACTCAAAATAGGATAGGGTGCAACGCATACACAAACTAAAATCTCGCGATCCTTAAATGATCAATATGATCGAAACAACAATTGCCATAATACGAGCTCCAAATCATGCGATTCCTGTAATTTCATGGTTATGATATACAATGCAATTAAAGGTCTTTTTTTTTTTATTGTGGGCAAGACAATTATGCTCATGTTTAAAATTTTTGGTAAAATTTTATTGTGAGACACCTCAGCGATCTCTTGATTGGATCATGTGAATCATTGGTTGTTAAAGATATGCACTCATTCTTGGTTAATTGGATCATGTGATGGAGAAGCATACCGATTTGTTGATTGGATCATATGGTGATGGATTCTTTTAAAGAACGACAGTACACGTGTTAACGACGTCACAGCAGATGACTGCTTCTTCTCCGGCTTCGACAAGACCGCAGGCGCGGACAAGAAGCAACGTGCAACGGATTCCAAAGCCTAAACACCCTGCATCCATGGCTATGGCTCGTTGCTTGACATATCTCTTCCACTGCATCCTGTTCTCCTATCTTTCCAGTTTCTAATCCTCCTCCTTTACGGTCACTCTGTTTCATGTCTTCTGCTGGAGAAATCGTTGTTCAACTCTCGTAAATACCTTCACCGATTAGACTCCGTTTCCCTGTGATACGAGCCACTTAAAAGATGAATGAGACGAAGTTACTTGAGCTTCTTGTTCTTGGGACGTTAGATTCTCTGTGTTCTTTATGTTAGGTCATGGGAAAGGAACAGTAATTTGGGCGGCACAAAGTAAGAGCACAACTCGCCGCTTGATTCTCCTGCTCCACAGAGAGAGAGAGAGAGAGAAAGAGAGAGAGAGAGAGAGAGACGTCATGTTCTACTGCCCCCCCTCAAGCCATGGCCAGCGCTCCATGTGGGCTGCTGCTTGTGCTCATGTGAGGCGGCGGACGTGCATGAATCAGCTCTCGTTTGTTTCTGCTTGCTGCTGCTGTGTCTTTTGTTCTTTTCTTGGCATAATTGCCATCCAAATCCTGACCCAAGTCATCCTTTCTGTCCCGTTATTCGTCCCTACCCTTCTCCAACATGAAATATTACTCCCATCTGTTCTCCTCCTCGCCTTGGTTTCATCTCCTCTCCTGCAATCCAAACACTCGGATGTTTGTCGGTCTCTGTCACCGTCAAGATTCACCGGCAAGCAGGCGACGACTACACGAGAGCTTGCCGGCTTCTTCGTCATCTCTGCAGCTACCCCTCACTGTACTGCCATGAAGATTTTGTTTTTCTTTCCAATAAAAAAAGCTCATATTTTCCTCACATTATTATTTTATACTATCACCGTAAACAAGTGCTAATTGACTTCCGAGCATCCACAAGTACAATCAATTCCTACTTTTGTCATTGCAATGACACTCTTAAATTATCAAAGTGTATTATTCATTAAATGATATAAATAACTATTGATACGATATATTTTAGCCCCAAGACATGTCATGTCAGAATTCGTACCAAGACATTGCTCGGCCTCAGGAACCCCAAGACGACGTCGCCCCCCAAGACACGCTAAGTTAGAATCCGTACTAAGGCACTGTTCGGCACGTCCACCACGCCAACCTGCGTACAACTGACCCACGTATAGTAATATAAAGACCTCTAGCCAGTATCTGGTCGGAGAAAAAAAAAATCAATTGATCACTCCACTGACTTGCTCGTCGGGAGGCCATTTTTGTAGGAAAATGCGGTCACCTCACAAAGACGAGCTGCCAGCCACCCGGGAACCGTCATCCAATGTACGAAGGAGAGCAGCCAATCGGTCCAGATCTCGACCAACACCAACTAGCACTCCTTCCCGAGGGCACGACCACCTCACGAAGACGAGCTACCAACACCCCCGGAAAAAGGAGAGACGTAGCTTGGCATATATAGCGCCTGGATCAGCACACCAAGAAACGCTGATCATCACCCTATCGTGAGGGTCCGATCGACCTCGGCATGCAGCTCAACCGGCAAAAGACTCCCGACATTTACCCGTGAACCAGGCCATGCTGAGTCGTCAGTCACAACACATTTGTTCACTTTTGTCATTGATAGTAATAACTAATAATCATAAAATGATGTAAATGCTTTCATTATTTGTTTTTCCGGTGGCTTATCGGTTGTGCATTAGCATCCGATTGGCAAGTCTATTTGCGGGGATTATTTGTTGCGAAGACGGTCGAAGATTGATTCCAAAATAGCATTCAAACCATAGAGGGATCGAATGCTACTGTTATTCTTTACTTTATTTGCTTCTTTTCTCCCTGCTGGCTGTTACAAGGCGACGAGTTATTACATCAGGAGATGACAAATATACCCTTATGAATTGTTATTTTTACGGTTTCTATCGCAGAAACTTTCGTAAGTGGACACTAATATTCCTCATGAAATCATGCATTGGTTAGCATATTTAGGCATTCAAATAATACTGTAATAAGACAAGAGCAGTTTTGACATTCCATCGCCTCTCATGGCCACTGTCGGCCCCGTCTTTGCATATAAATGCCATCCACAAGCGCTGTCTCTCTCTCTCTCTCTAAGCTCGCGTCCTTCCTCTGTCTCGCTCTCTCGCCTTGGCGTCGCTCCACTCTCCGCACCTCACTGCGACTACCATTTCGGGGATTTCCACTGTAAGTCCTCCTCCCTTCTCTCCCCCTCGAAGTCTCTGCTCTAGATGGAGAGATCGACGTAACTATCGATTTATTTTGCTTCTGTTTGGGATTCGAGGATCTTCGATCTTTCGCTTGACTGATGCGGAATGCTTGTTTGTGTTTTTGGTTTCTCTCGAGTGCAGAGATTGCAAGCGGAGATGAAGAACTCGTTATCGGATCACAATCTCTTCATCGACAGCGAGGAGGATGATGACGCAAACGAGGAGGACGAGGAGGAGGAGGGGAGCAAGGCGTGCCCGTCGGAGGTCGCCGGCGGCGACGCTGACGGCTCCGATTCGCCCTCCGACGATGACTGCCTTCCGCGGAGCAGGCCCAGCTCTCACTCCACCAATTGGCCCCAAAGTTACAGGTAACCCCGTGGAGCCGGATGGATGATCTGGTGCTTGCCTTACGATCGCGATCCAACGGCCGGAAAGGTCCCTCGAGTTACAGCCGTGAGATCTCGATCTGGGTCGATGGGTTGGCGGTGGGAGTTAGTTAGCAGGTAGCGTGCGCGGCGAGTCGCGATGAGTCGGGAGTTGATGGATGGAGGGAGAATTATCTGGGAATATTTTCTTTAAATCCAGATTGGCCGATCTGTTAGACGCATAGAATATTTTGAAGGATGTTGGACGAGATCTTCGGGCGATTGTCTTCGTCCCCATCGACGCCCATTGGTTCTAATTTCTACATGTTGTTAGCATACGATCTCAGTCAAGTCCCTACGTAGATTAAGAAGATGAGATTGACGTGGAGTTGGTTCCGAATAGAGGTGGCAATCAGTTTAACCAAATCAATCGAAATTAGTATAGCAAGTGGAGCAATGAAACGGTGTTTGAAATCTTGAGGACTTCAATCTACAGTCCCACTTAATCTACGTAATCTAGCGTCCGTGGGATTCTTATAAATGCCTTCGGTAGGCTTAGTTTTCCGAGATCCTCGAGAGCGGTGATAGACTGCGTAGCAATGCGAAAAGGTGCTTGTGGCCTTAAAGAGTGCTGGGGAAGATGACAGGTTGCGGTTATGCAGCAGCATCGGTGATGACAGTGAATCGGAAACCGAGCTGATGGGTTTGATTTGGAAGTGTGGGGCACGCCCTCGTGGTGAGGATGAGGAATCCTGTTCCACGTTGCCAGTGAGCAGGTGAAACGAACTTTAGATTCGTGGTCTTCTTCCTTTTTTGGTTCTTTCTTCTGCAGGTTTTCTTCGGTAAATATTGTTTTAGATTAATAAGTTCCTTTGGGGTGATTAGAACGCTCCAGGATAAACTAATTTTAAGAGCCTTGTATGAAAGAATGTACCACCAGTTAGAAGAAGGTTGGAGCTTTTACTATATTAATTTCTTTCTACAAGTATTATATTAAATTATATATACAAGATGTTCTGATACGAGTTGAACCAAGATAGAAAAGAATTGGATTGAGGGTAAATAAAAGCAGGAAAATGACTGTCTTTCACTGTTTTCCATGAAAACCAAACTGCATGGTGAAAAAAATGAAAACACAATTTTCTCTTTGCTTTTGTTTGGCATGCTGGAGAAAAAGATTTGCTCTCCTTTTAAAATAATATATTGAATAAGGAGGTTCTTGTAGACATTTTCTTTTTCATTTTCTGGGATAAAATCCAGGATGGTATGCTATTTTTTTCTTAGATTTAGAATATTTTTTATATTTTGTGGGATGCTTTTTTTCCCTTAAAATTCAGAAAAAGTTGTCGTGTATTTTTGGGCTTCTTAGAAGAAAATTAATTCTTCATGTTTTTGCAATCACAACATCTAAGACAATCATGATCAAATGAAATTGTAGTTCTGAATGAGAAATAAACTAATGGACCTTTAATTGGCGATTCTAAGGGACATTTATATACATATACATACATATAGTTTACTTAACTTTTTACTTACAATTTTATATGTATTACAATTGATCTGCTATTTTAGGATTTAATATGCGCCATGATTTAATAGTTAATTGTTTTGAATAAATAAGTATTTAAATTTAAATTGATTGGTTACTGTAGATGGAAATATATCTTTTGATAATTTTAGTGATTCTTATCAAGAAGATTACAATTGGTTTTTTATATTTGTTTCAACGAAATACCAATTTAAATATGTTTGATATAGTTATAACAACTAAACCCAATCCCATTCCTGTTTTTTTATTATTCCTGATATGAACATTGCATAAGGTGGTTTAGGATTACTAAATTTGAAGACTATTAATATAATAGTTCATTTGAAGTATCTGCTTGTTCGATTAAGAATCTGCTTGTTCGATTATATTGGATCTTTTTAGTTGCTTGAAGATAAAAAAGCATTTATGCTTTTGACTTTTTTTATATGATTCTACCTCATGAATCTCAACTTAGACTGATTGTTGATTTTATATATATATATATATATATATATATATATATATGTATGTATGTATGTATGTATGTATGTATGTATGTATGTATGTATGTATGTATACACACATTATATAGTTTATATAATTTATTGATCTTTAGTTAATATTCAAAGGTGGAATGTGATTGATGTAAAGTCTTAAAATGTGAACTAAACAAAAAAAAAAATTCATGTTTCTATTTTTTTTTTCAGGCAATCCATTGACATGTACAGTGGTCTGTCACCAGCCACAGGGTTTTTGGGGACTCCAACCCTTAGCAGATTGTCAAGTTCCTTCTTTTCTTCATTTCGAGTCAAGCACACCCCAGAAAAAACAGCCTCACTTATTAAGCCTTTGCTGCCCACTACTACTGCTGATGAGCAACCACAAGAAGAAAGACAAAGCTCTGATTCGCTATTGACCCCTCTACTGCCATCAAGAAAGCCATCTTTGGAGAAGATACAAGAGAAAGTCTTTCATGAGTTACCAAGCTCCCGAAATTCTTCCTATGGACAAGCGGTGTTCAATGGTGTGTACATCTCAATCTCATCCTTTACAATAATGTTCAAATTATTTTTATTTCTTAGGATTCATTATCTATTTTATATATCTTTGTTACATGGCAACATAGGCCAGGAAAGTACAAGTTAACCAATAAATCATGCACTTTTACTTTTCTATATATGTTAACCTTGATGTTGCCATATATTTGCAGTTGCTAGAGGACTATTTGCTAGGCTGGATCACATTAAAATATAGGATTTGCTTACCATGCAAAATTTGGCATTTTGGAACCAACTCAAGTATTTACGGCACAAAAAAAAATGGTAAACATAGACCTGCTTGGTTCGGTGATTTTGATCTCAACATCAGCAGTAACTTGACTGTAGAGTTAATTCATGCAACTTATCTTAAGAAGCTCGAGATAAATGGAGATTTTCTTTTGAAATGAATCTTCAAACTTCAAAAAAAGGAAAACCTGAAACTTCTATTAGTGCACACAACATATGGATCACTCCCCAGCTAGTTTCTAGAATCATAAAGCCGATAAGAGAGAGCATGACCACTGCTAACACCAGTTCCTGTCAATTCTTGGTGAAAAACTTGATTCCAATGTGCATTAAAGATTAGGCTGGGAAAAGATTAAACAAAAATAAATAGAAAAAAAAAGTATTGACCATTAGCATGCATCTGTTCATGCAAATCTTGAAAATAGTATTTCTTTGGCATAATGACTTCCTGAAGGTCAAGAAGCACTGAATGATGATCTTACAGTTGAAGTTCATGGATATATTTTGATTATCATATTTTTACAATATTTTTTCTAAATCAGTTGGGGAGCAGAGCTGACATATGTGATCACATTGTTATCAAAGACAAGTAAATAAAAGAAAAGGAATAAACAATTATTTCTTTCACGACCTCTCTTGTGGACCATGAGGGACTCACAATACTCGAACCTCACCTTGCCTCATATGATAAGCTCCTCCTAGGAAACATTTTATGCATTTTCCATTCTAATCCTAAAATGAATGCAATGTATATGCTTGTGCATAATCAATTAGATGTTCAGATTTTTATTTTCATTTTATATTCCTAGAAGGAAGATGTTTTTTAATACAAACATTATTCCTTTTAGAAGGGTCATTATCTCCACAAAATAGTCCATAGGATATAAGATTCACAAAAAAATTAAGAAATAGTAACTTCATAAAATAGACCTTAGGGTTTTTCTATAACAATATTTTCATAATTGCATGCTGGTTAATAATGAGCTTGCAAGCTTGCACATATAATTCATTTGTTAGTTTTTATTTAAACGAGGCAATTATTACTAGTACTTGTGTTAGAGTTTGGATAATGTTTTGTTCCTAGTGATCCATCCTAAACTTTCTGTTTATCTCTTGCCATGTGTAACTGGTATATTACAGATTCTCAGAAATATTATAGATTATTAGGAAATATTAATGTATGGGGAGAGATTGAAACAAAAAGGACTAGTAGCATAATCCTATAGTGATACGATTTGAAAGAGTTGGATAAAATACATATCGGATTGGTTCACAACTTAACAAACTTAATATTTTAGGTGAAATTAGTATCCAATAATGTATGTTAACTTTGACAAAAGATTTTGGCCTCAAATGCTTTGAATCTCACATGGGTATTTCTTTGTGAAGCGAGGAGGAAGTTGTTGGGATGCAAGCTTAGGACATGAATCTATGTAACTTTGACAAAAGGTGAGAGGTTTTTCATTTCACTGTTTGTAATAAAATACACCTTGATTTATACCAATAATAAAAAATTGTACTACAAAAATATATAACAGGAAATTTGTACATTTATTGCTACTTTTTGCAATGAATAATGCAGTTGGTAGTACGTTTTGGTAACACTTGATCATGATGAAGAAATCCTAGTGATGCAAATCTCTTTATTAATCTTTTGCTGCTTAAAATCTTGGTTCACAGCACTGTCATCTTCATGAAAGGTGATCCTTGACATTATTTTTATGAGTTTGGCTTCAACAAACTCACATAATGGACAACTCATTTAACATCCTCAACTTCTTTTCTTCACATTAAGTAAAACTTGTGGTTAGGGATGAATGTTTTATGTGGCGTTGGGATCCTTTCGACCCCTTATGCTGTCAAAGAAGGAGGATGGCTTGGTCTCTCCATACTTCTGACATATGCGGTGCTTGCCTGGTACACTGGCATTCTGCTGCGCCATTGCTTGGACAGTCAACAAGGTCTGGCAACGTACCCTGACATAGGTCAGGCTGCCTTTGGCACTACTGGTCGCATTGCCATCTCTGTAAGGCCTTCATTTCAATGGCAACTTCCTGTACTTTTTTAAATTTATTTTTTAATAGATTCAATGAACTAACACTTTGACTTCTATTATACTCTCATGACATGCAGATAATCCTCTACTTGGAATTGTATGTAAGTAAAAATACTTCAACCCTCATCATCATCACATCAATCTTTATTATGTTGAGTTTTTATAACAGTCTGACGAGGTAAGACTTGCGATTAGAATTAAGAACTCTAGTATCTTAGCAAGAATGATTCCAATATTCATTGAAAAAAAATCATATTACACTAAATTATGCTAAAAAATGGGACTTTTTATTCTAATCAATTGTAATAACTATCCTACGAACCATAAAGAATTAGACTTGGTAAATTTGTTAGGTCCTTATTTAACCAATCTGATATTATTCACAATTTCTAATGCACATTGGTTTTGCAGGCTTCTTGTGTTGAGTATATTATATTAGAGAGGGATAACTTGTCATCACTGTTTCCAAATGCTCAACTGAATATAGGTGGGACACACATAGACTCTCATCTACTTTTTGCTACCTTGACTACTGTTATAGTTCTCCCGACAACATGGCTGCGAGATCTTAGTGTTCTTAGTTACATATCAGGTCAGTAGAACTTTTTTACTTGCTAATTGTTGCAGTTGCCAGTAACACTAGTGTAATTGGTAAAATGTATGAGGTTAACATTTTAATGGATAATTTGTTCAAACTGCTCGAAAAACAAAAGAGCACTTTGGGATATAATTTATCATTGTTTATAATCAGTATTTTGAAGCTTACAAGTTTGTCTTTATGCCTCTGGCCATCACCTACATGATTATGTGGTGATTGTGGCATGAACAATATTTCTGCAGTTCAAGATGCCATTTGAAAGCAATAATTGAAATTTTCTCTAAATCTCTGAGAACCTAATAACTCTTAGGTATATGTATCAAATAAATCATGTGCACTGACAGAATTTGATCATAACTATTGGGTTTAATATTTTATGCTGATTAAATTACAAAGTAATACTGTTCTCCTTAAATTGTTCTTTATTTTAAGCAAACGGTGATGGATTGGCAGTCACCAAATTACTACTTATAATTAGAATACCCCTTTATTGTTAAATTCAATCAAACATTTGAATATTCATGCCTAATTATATAGGGGAAAAAAATCCTTCTACTTATAGTTTTTCTCAATATTTGGCAGTTGGAGGAGTTATTGCATCTGTGTTGGTAGTACTGAGCTTATTTTGGGTTGGTCAATTCGATCATGTTGGTTTTCAAAATAAGGGCACTCCACTAAACCTATCAGGTATTCCAATTGCCATTGGCATATATGGATTCTGCTATTCAGGTCATGCAGTTTTCCCAAACATATATTCCTCATTGAAGAAACCCAACCAGTTCCCCTCCGTTCTCTTTGTAAGGTGAGTAATGATTCAAAACATGTTATTACTCAATTACCTTTCACTGATATGTATATGCACTCACATAAAGAAATATAATTATACGTATGCAATCATCTTTGTAGTTTTGTAATTTGCACTGTGATGTATGCTGCGGTTGCTGTGATGGGTTACACTATGAATGGGGAGTCAACGCTGTCACAGTTCACCCTCAACATGCCACAAAATCTATTGGCTTCGAAGGTCGCTGTGTGGACTACGGTATCAATTACATCCTGGACTCATTGCTTTATACTCCTTGCTCATTGATTGCAAACTTTAATGCATTGATTTATAGACAACATGAAATATTAGTCTTAATTGTACTTTTTTGCTAAAGCTATTTTCATTTGTTGTAACTGTCCTCGAGAGACGTAAGAAAAATGAAAAATTGGATTTCACCTAGAAATTACATTTCGAGGAATCTTAGATGTATATCATAAATATGTTAATTGTATAAAAAATATTTATATGTGATGTTTATCTGTAATCATTACTGGAAGGATCCTACCTTTGTTTAGAATGCTGCACATATCATACTAAAATTATCTACAATAATGTGATCATAATTAAATCTGTGACATGAATTTTTTGAGAGTTTTGAACAGATTTGGTTAAGTTATAAATGTATGTTAATTCTCACAATAAAACCACCAGTATCTTTTTAAGTATAAGACAATAGTTTAATATGACTCACAGATTTTCAAAGAAGAATATATCTTAGATATGATATCTTTGATGTGTTATGATTTCGATTGACTAGGTAATGTATTTGTCTTCAAAATTTTGACATGCTAGAAAATGGTTGAATTAGCTGCTAATGTTCTTTTATGGACTTTGGTTGCAGGTGGTGAACCCAATAACTAAATATCCTTTGAATTGTTATTTCATTCACGTAAGATGATATAAAGCATGAACTAATAAATAATTGCATTTTCTAATTGATTTTAGATATCAGTTCAAAATTTCTTTGTTTACGTCTATCAAAGAATTCTATTTAATGATGATACTCTTTTAAGTTCTAAAATTTAAAATATATAATAAATAATTCTGGATTATTCATAGTAAACTAAAATTTGGACATATCCTTAACTTCTGAAAACATATGCATTAACGCTGACTCCATTGGCATTGAGTTTGGAGGAGTTGTTACCGGCAAACAGTTCGAACTCACACTTGTATGCAATCATGATAAGAACAACGCTGGTTCTTTCTACTTTAATAGTGGCTCTTTCAATTCCTTTCTTTGGTAAGTTTATTTTTCATTTTCTTTCTTCTCAATTTCACAATATCTTTAAAATATTTTCTAAATGCTAATATTCCAAAAGGTTTACACTTTCATTTCATGAGTTGACAATGTTATGATCCAGAGTTTTGCATTTCTAGTAAGTTTTTTCAGCTTGTAAAACTTAAATTTGTATCATTGGATATCATATCAGGATTGGTAATGGCTTTGATTGGATCATTGCTCACCATGCTTGTGGTAAGTCCTGTCCTTTCTCCTTTAAAAATTTATGTAATTATATTATTTTTAATCACTAATTTTTATTACAGACTTTGATTCTTCCATGTGCTTGCTTTTTGAGCATACTTCGGGGCAGAGTGACAAGGACTCAGGTAATGCTTTTTGATTGTTGCATTACCTATGTCTGCCCTTCATATCTCTGCCATGAGTTTGCTGTCCAATGAATGTATAATATGTGCAAATTTAGTCTAAAATGAATATCTGAGCTAAATAAAAAATTTCATCACCAAAATCTTTCATAAATATGTGCTTTATGGAAACTATTTTAGTTGACTTGAAATGTACAATGTGATGTTACCACGTTTGTTTTGACATACTTTCCATGTCCATCTCACCAAAGGATCATATATATATTTTTAATCTTTTATATAATTTATTTTAAGAATTCAACTTGGTGTAATAAGTAAACAAAAAAACATAAAATTTTTTTACATAATTTTATATAGTGATGATGTTGAGGTTATTGATAAAAACAATACTGACTGATGGTATGAAAGCATATATTTTAGACTGAGGTACAATTTAGTAATAGTTTCTATTTATTTATCCACTTTCTATATAATGCACAAGGTAAATAATTTAATGTTTAATGTTCTGATATTTTGTATTTGGATACATCGAAAGTTCTCAATGATTATTTGAATAAAAGCATCTGATACATTGATTTCAATTTTAGGGCCTGTTGTGCACCTTCATCATCGCAATTGGAGCGGTCTCTTCCATTATAGGCACGACCACATCGCTCTCCAAAATTATAGGCCAACTGAGTTCATAATTTATGCCAACAACCGAATAAAGTCCATTGTTCCTTGTTTTCATTTAACTGTTCCTATTCCTTTATTGTTTATTCAAATAAATTTTATTAGAAGATGTCGAATTTATTGTCGTTTTTTTTTTTTGGGGTCATTTTAATAGATGCAAAAGTATAAAGAAGTGTAGGGACATGTAATTGAGATTATCTATTTATATATGGTTTGTGTCTTATATCACATTGTGGCATTTCCTGGTGTGTTTAAATCTGAGTATGTTATTAGACATGTTTCTTATACTTCATTCCAAACTTGTACACTACCATATCACATGTTTATTTGCATCGAAGGTCAAATTCTTTAACATTAATAAATAAATAAATAAACATATATATATTCACTCCGAAAAATTTGTCGGGTTTACGTGGTCTTTGCGAAGGGGAGGAGTGCGGCCGCACATGAAGTGGGTGCAGCAGCAGACACGAGGCGGAGGGTTCGTTTCTTCGAACACGATCGCGCATGCCCATCATCTGTCGCAGTGATCACCACGCCGACGCACTAAATAAGGAGGCATTGATGAGTGCCGTAGCGGCATTTCGAGCCGCCATCCCCGCCCCCCTCCTCTCCCTCCCTGCCGCCTCCTGTCGCTCGCCTTCTTGCCGTCTCCTTATTCGCGGTGGTACTCCGTCCCCCGTCTTCCCTGCTCTTCATCTTGTTCTCCGTCGATGGCGACGCCTCCGCCGCCCTCATGCGTCTCCGCTTCTTTGGAGAAGCAGTTCGAAGACTTTCGTGTCCAACTCGACGAGACAGCGAGCGTTCGGGAGCGAATCAGAGCCGTGGTGATGGAGATGGCGGCCACCGTCCGGCTCATGAACGCCCGTCTTCTTTTGGTCCACCACTCCCTCCCCAACCCAGGTTCCAAGCTTTCGGAGACAATACTTAAATAATAATAATTTTTTGGTCTGCTTTAATACATATTTGCTTGATTCAATGGCACGATTGTGGACAGACGTCCTGGAGAAGGCTAGGGCTCAGGCAGGGGTGCTGAAGGGGCTTTTCGGTAGGCTTGCCGAAATCCTTCGTGAATGTCCTGGACAGTATTACAGGTGGGCGTATTCTCTTTGGAGAGTCGGTAACATTGTTCTTGTTGTCCTTCTGTTACAGGCTAACTCGAGGTACTTGTTTGGGATAGATTCCATGGAGACTGGAGGTGTGAGACTCAGACGGCAGTTTCATTGATAGAGTTTCTGCATTGGTTGGATACAGGCAGTCTTCTTATGCATCCTGAAGCTGAAAAGATTCTAGGATGTAAGGTTTTCTTTCCCACTAAAGATCTTCCTTCCACAATTTAATGATTCGCATACACTGCATTAATGACAAGTGCACCTGTTTAGATATGGTTTCACAGTTCAAATTCATCAACTCTGCTATGGAGATATATCCTGCACTGTGATAAAAGAGATCTAAAATTGTAGTGCTTACATAGACCTAAAAGAGACCTAAACTTGTGGGATATGGAAAGACATTATTGATTAGGACGTTATGCTTTATATGGACCCTTTGTGATTGTCTCATTTTCTCTTCTAGTCTTTGTTATTTACTTCGTGACTAGCTTATAGCAAACTGAGGAGACTAAGTGCATTTGGTTCTGCCTCGAAGAACATTTTACATTTGATCAATTAACTTTAATCTCCCCCTATCATTTATATATACTAACAAAAAAGTGGAATGTATTTTAAGGTGTGAAACCATAATAGAACTGTGAATTAGTTGCTGAAGTTTTTGGTATTATTAATATAAAAATGAGGTTGTTTATATTGACATTTGCCTGTTCTTGGCCCAACAAACATATGGAACAAACCAATCCGACTTTCAATGGATTGAACCATTTTATATTGTCTCTCTGAGTCATGTCAGTTTTCCAGTTGCCAGACATATTCAAAGTTTATTCATTAATCTTGGAAGAAGTTTGAAGATAGGAAAATCTAGTAGTTCCAATATCTTTCTTTTATTGTGACCTTGCTTGGCCTGATTCCACATCTACAAATGTGTAGGGGCCAATTTACTGTGTAATTTGGGTGTTTTACATATGGAAATTGTGTTGTTATCTTTATTTATTTATACCTCATACGATGGAAAGCATGAGGCTGAATGTTTTGGGAGAAAAAAATGTCATTTAAAAAAGAAAAAAATTAGAACTGTTTTAAGCTACAAACAGAAATAAGTTACCAAGCATTGGTTTTCATTTTTTTGAAGTGAAAAGAAAAGGTAATGCCAAGGCTGTCTACACTCTGAAGCTGTGTGCTTTTATTTTTAGAAATAATCATCATTATAAACATGACATGTTTCATTATAAACTCAAGAGATCTAAATTCACCAGCAGAATGATTGCAGACCACAACAGATGGCAGTCATTAGGAAATTAACAAATATTTGATTTTGCTAAAAATTAGTTGCATCTTTCACTAGCAATTCATTGGGCCAGAGGTTAGCTGGAGCGCTGTTTATCCAACAATATTTCATCCATATTCAACAAAGTTCCTTTTTTTATTTTCTTCCTGAAATGCCACTTCTAGCATGTAATTATTTTTCTTTGCTTAACATGCAACCTTTTTTATCTCGTAAAATAACAAACTAGGAGTTACTAATTGTGTTATATTCTCTGTAGTGGATCCTTCAGAATTTGGATTGGACATTGAAGATTACCTTATTGGTTAGTCTCCTGCATAATTCATTCGATAACATTTTGGTTGTTGAGATTTGGATTTTTTATGTAATAGAATAAGCAATTGTGTTGACTCTTTATGTTCCCCAACAAACTACTGGATTATTGCTAATGGTTTGCATGGCTAACTTTGTGATTTTAATGTATAACATAATTGTTTATTTTTTATTCATAATCTTTTTGCGTTGCATGACAATATATGTAGATGAGTGTTTCTTCATTGTCACTCACCGTAGTCTCTGCATGGCATCCTAGACTACTATATATCATACTGTTGTCATAAAGTTGGTACTTGGTGGTATATTTCTATGCTTAATATTACTGATAAGGTCACCTTTTTGCAGGATTGTGTTTCATGTCGAATGAGTTGGTAAGATTTTTCTCCTACAAATCAGTTGGATTTTTATTTCATAGAAAATTACACTGTAGTTTATGGGTTTATTAAATCATGAAAAAATTTAGATATTGCCACATCATGGATCTTGACAAGTTCTGTTTGTGCGTAGAGTGAATAGGTCATATATACCTGATGACATAAGGCCATAGGTGTGAAGAAATAAGGGTCATAGTGATTGCTTAAGTTAGGCGTTCTGGATTAGCTCAATCTGTTGAAATTTAAATGGGTTAGGCTGGCTAAATTAGTGCTGGGTTGCTTCTTTCTTGGTGGAACGGATCTAGCTTTATCTATGCTAGCCGTTGCATCATTGCTGTACGTGTGCTTCAGATGCTTTGTTGCTTCTCATCATCTAAGAAGCTGGATGAAAGAATGTGTCTCAACAAAAAGTATGCGGTATCTTTCCTTTTTCCCAACAAAACATATAGGATTCAATTTCATTTTTCCCTTTTTGTTGTTCTGCTGGCACCTAAGATTCAAACACCTGGCATGGCATGCAGCACTGTCATCAACTGTTCCAATGGCCTGCTGGCAAGAGGGATGCCAGCCAGCCATATTTAAAACCTTAGTCATCGGAATGTGGAGGAGACAAATCATACATAATGCGAATCCAACAAAATACAAACACATAATATGTAGATACAAATATATGATTTGTCATTGTGTTTTCAGAAGATATTTGTTTCCTATGTATAAAGTTCGACCTTACTCCTTATCTTCATAGATCATCGTGGGCTGTGTTGTTCATACTTTTACAAAGAGATGTATGGGGATTGTGTCATAAATGTGAAACACACACACTAACAGGAATCGTAGTTGCTGTTTGACTTAGATCCATGGAATTCCTTTTAATCTTAAAATTAACTTTAGTTTCTGATACAATACCTTCTATTTCAGCCAAGATATGCTGTGAATCAAGTCACTGCTGGGGATTATGATTGCCCAAGGAAGGTGCTCAAGTTCTTAACTGATCTCCATGCATCTTTTCGGATGCTTAACCTACGGAATGACTTCTTGCGCAAAAAGTTTGATGGTAGGCTGTAAGATGTTTCGACACAACATGCATGCCTGCTGCAGATCTCTAATTGTTGATGCTTCGATGGGCAGGGATGAAATATGACTTGAGAAGAGTTGAAGAGGTGTACTATGATGTGAAGATTAGAGGTCTCGGATCTGGGGATTCTGACACACGAAGAGGCCGCCAGGTTACAATGAATCAATAGCCCCACCCACCCCCATGTCGTATGTTTATTTTTAGCTATTTGCCAAGATTGATGTGGCCGGTCATTTGTCATTGCCTGTTTCGCATCCGTAATGTTGTTTTGATGCCAACTGGAGGAGGGGCACCATCTCCTGCATGTTTGATGGCTTGCTCAGCCCTGAGGATGGCATCGTCTTCTTCTCTGTTCTATGCTATGGTGAGCTCCGCTCGTCCTGATGGATGACTGATAAAGATAAAGTGGGATCCACAATAAGAAGAGTTCAAACACTCGATAGAAAAAAAGTGGTTCACTGCAAACTCTATATAGCAATATAAAGAAAAGAATAATGGTAAAGAGTAAATTATTTCCGTTATGTTCAAAGACAAGTAGTGTATCAAACAATGCTGCATGGGAATTCATTAAAATTGGAGAAAGTAATCTTCTCACGCAACAAAACTATATTTCATGTACATTCTAGCAATAAACAACACTGGACTTCTTTATATCAAATCAGATATTTTCACAAATAGCAGGTTTTTCGATTGAAACACATGATCCGCTTATTAGTTTTTGTGACGGGAGAGAGGATGTGAGGACAAGAACTCCCGATAGTCTTTCCGTACCATCCATAGGATTTCTGCACACCTCCTCATGCTCGGCCGGCTCGTCTTGGTTGGAGCCAAGCACAGCAAGGCAAGCTCAAGGATCTTTTCCACCGCAAAGCTAGTTGCCAGGCTTGGCTTAAGGTTCGGATCCAGAGTCTGTATCCCGTTTCCTTCTGTGAATCTCTTCATAGCCTGTGACATTTAACCAACACAATCTAGATTTTAGTTGTCCGCTATTAACCAACAACAAAAGACATTCCAAAACTATTCACATATTTGTCCGCTCTTAACTTTCAGCAAAAATGCCAAACACTAGCAGTCAGCAGTAACATTTTGTTGATGCCCATAAAAGTATGAGAAAAAGAATGCCTCCATAATCCTTTCCTATTAGAAGAGACTCGTCCAGCACCAGAAGTGAGATTTCATAGGATCAACATTTTTTTCTTTCATCTTTTCCTCTGTTTAAGACCTTCCGAATTTGATATTTGTCAAAAGAGAAAAAATATTCTTGTGACTAGGTTAGCTACCGATAGTTCTATCAGTAACTAATCAAAGAATTTCGAATGTTGCCGAATTAGCATATAGGTCGAAGCCAAACGTTTTCCAAAAGAAAGAGGGATCTTAACCTAAGGGCTAAACCAAAACCAATGTTGACTACTCCATGGTCTGAAGAATATTAAAGATTTTGAATTAAAGTGTGCTTCACTATGTAACTCTCGAATCTGGATCTCAAAGTTATAATAATGGCAACACCATATTTATTACTAGACAAAAGCACATGCAAGAAGCTCTCCGAAACATACCCATTTGGGTGTAAGCCGTTCGGTGAGTTCTCTCCTGGGTTCTATCGGGCGCCTGCCGGAGACCAACTCCACCAGCAATACACCAAATGAGTAGACATCACTCTTCTCTGTGAGTTGATAGGTTCTTAAATATTCTGGGTCAAGGTAGCCTGCAGTTCCTTTAACTTGGGTGGATATGTGGGTGACATCAGAATCCATCACAAAAAGTCGGGCAAATCCAAAATCAGCAACCTTAGCGCGCAGATTATCCGTCAGAAGGATGTTCGAGGATTTAATATCTCTGTGAATTATAGGATTATCTGCATTTCAAGAAAATTTATCCATTAGATTAGCAACTAGCAGAAAAAAAAAAAATCCTCAACTTTCAACTGCAGAGTCACAGATACATATGCATAGATTGGCCACCGGAATTTCAAGTAAGACAGATTCCAACCAAAAAAGTTCTAATGACAGAGGCAAAAGAAAACTTTTATACCAATAGTGAAAATATTAAAATTGGATATTCATATGACAAATACAGATTTTAGTGATTTCTATTCTGGCTTCCAATCTGAAAATCTCAGAATTTTCAAAGCACATTGATATGCGCAATTCAGCCTGCATTTTCCCTTGTGATACACCAACCACACTGATTCACCACAGGCCTTCTCAGTTAGGATGGGCAACAATGGGAGGTTTGAATCTTCAAAGAAGTGGTTAACGACATAATAAATGCATTAACCACATTCAAAACGGTGATCACCAAGGGTGGAAGAGATCTGATCTGACGATCAAATTCTTGTTTAGTGGATCAAGCTTTTCCTGTTTGCACGATTGTGGGCCCAAAGCGATCATTTGGTATAATATTTCGATAAGTTTTTACTGGACCTCCATCGTTCCCTAATGGACCAATAAATTAGGCACCTTTACAAGTTTACAAGTTCAGGTAATGTGAAGATAGCTATTCAACTCTATTCATGTAGTCATGATGAATCTGTAGTAAACATTCTCTAGCTGTCCAGTCTATAATTTGGGTTATGATACGATAAAACAAAGGAGCTATATATATATATATATATATATATATATATATATAGATGGATAGATAGATAACACCAACCTGAATACACATGAAGGTATGTGATAGCATGAGCCACATCAATTGCAATATCTAACCGTGTAGCAAGATCCAGAATTTGTCCTCGCTGACCTGAAGTTTTGCTTAAAAATAGGTCAACAGGGCACCAACTTCCAACAGCAGAAAATCATAGCAGGTCAGAAGTGGAAACAGACGTTCACTAAACATTACAATATCAACTAGCAGTATGAAGTCAAGGAGGAAACCAATGCCGACTATATCAGCACTCACCACAATGGGAAATTAAGCATTAGGAACTTACAATCAAGATGTTCTCGAAGAGTTCCGTTGGAGACGTACTCAACAATGACAATTCTCTCATCCTGATGCTCCAAATATCCATGCAACCTAACCAAATTCAGATGCTCAATGCATGCCAGTGTTTGAATCTCATTCTGGAATTCGGCATTCAGATGGCTGTTGTGGGTATTCTACAAAGCATCACACCCCAACTTCAGTAGTAGGCTAAACTTAGATTAACAAGATCCAAGGAGAGACATGGTATCCACTCCAAATACCTTTTTGGCACGTTTAACCGCAACCACTGTGCCATCATCAAGCCGGGCTCGGTACACAGTCCCTGACCCTCCTTGTCCAATCTTCAAAGAAGGGGAGAAGTTCTTTGTCGCCTTCATGATCTCTGCTATGCTCAGTCTAATGCCTCCTGGTTCACTTCTAGAAGGGTTGTTGCCATTGCTATATATTCCCATACCGCGCGGCCTGCTACCTTGTAAGCTGCCATGAGAGCTTCCTTGGGTGCTAACAGATGGGGTGACTACAAGAAAAAGAATAATAATCTGATAAGCTACTGGATATGAAAATAAGTGGCCATGTTCTTTCTATCAAATCAATTACTAATAGACATTCTCATAAGAATCCATTAGAGGAAGCATCAAATTTAACAAATAATTCTTACACTACCTCTGAAACATTAAACATTTACTTGATTTGTATAAATCTCTTGGTAAAATGGGTTCGATCGTACATCAATAACACAGACAAACAGGTGTCTGAATGCCTCAAAGTGATCTCATTAATCAACATTGGGAGTGAAATTTTGCAATAGTTTACAAGAGATATAAGGAATTATCAGAAGAATGAAGATTTTCCAAGAACATCAATAACTCCATCCATATCTCAATCTTAGGAATCTGACTATGTGAGGGTATAGAAGCAGATGATATATCCAAGAAATGACAAATCTAATGATTTAAGTTTTTTCTTTGGCACAATTGTTTGCAAATAAGAAAATTTAAGCTTCAGAAAAAAAAAAAGACTATCTTTTGCAGGTAATAAAAAGACAATCTTCATGCACTAAAGGAGACAAATTTCCCCCATCTTTTTTTCCTTTTTCCTCACAGGATCAGATCCCCTATGCACTGTTCTTAAAGCAGAAGCTTACGAGAAGGCGGCTTGAACTCCTCGGAGTCGTCCGCCGAGGGCGGCAGTCCGCCATCGTGCGAACCGAAGCACGAGGTGATCGCCCGGGCAGCGATCCGAACCGGGTTGCGGCTGGACGATGACGACGAGAAGCCGCCAGCGGATGACCCCGAGGACGCGGAGCTCCGGGAGACGTCCCAGATGTCACCGCTCCTCCGAACACCGTCGACAGGGCTGCGGTCGCCGAGCGGTGTCGCCGGGCTCCTCATCCTCCCCGACAATGGAAACCTCGGGGGCACGCTCCCTTGAGAAACCCGCTGGGCGTTTCGTGGCTACTTGCTTACACACGCTTTGGTGACCGGCGCGCAATAACGCTCGTCATTTTGGCCTCTACAGGTCAAAGTCAACATCCAGCAAAGCGCTTGGAAAACTGACTGCCGCCCACAAAACAACGCGTGGGTGGAGATGTCGACCTCTGCGTCGGGTTTACCGTGGGTTGACTTTCTGACGTGTGAATGGAAGAAGATTAATCATCACTTCTACACTGACAGAAAACCCAAATGATCGTTTTCTCAATCTTGTCATCGTTTTCCTGCAATTATTGTCATGCCTACTGCATTATTAGGCTTAGCAGCTGCATTAATAGCAAGAAAATTGCCATCACCGACGGATGCTCATGAGTCCTGCAAATGGCCATGAATGGACCAAGAAAAGCCAAACGTCGAACTTTTGGCCTCTCATAACACACCTTCGATACATCATTCAAGCATCCATTTTGCTCTCCAGTTTAGAGAGAAGAGGTGGACCTGTAAGATTACAGATGTAGAACTGGAATGGCGTGGTTCGAAATCCTTGGCTTTGTTTGGGCATGTAATCTGCTGCTGGGCTGGAACATGAGGCCATACTTTATCGAATACTGCGAAGCATCAGAGCAGCACATTGACAGATCCGAACAAGTGAGATAGTTGGGTGCTCATACACAATTCATTTAGCTGGTATGCCAACTAATGCGTTAGCTTGACGTTTCTGTCAGATTGCTGTTACGACATTCACGAACAGTGACGCAGGAGCCACCCAGTTCCAGACCATGGCACAAGGAAGGTGAAGACTTTTAGCTCATGGAACCTAATGAGATGGAGAAGCATTTCGTCGAACACTTGTTTGTGTGAGATCTGTGTATGGATGGGTGTTAGATAGATGATCCCAGTGGCTAATGCCGAAATGATAAGAGAATAGCAAGCATAATGACGATTGAAGTCACACGATAAAACACAAATAAGAAAGATAGATTATTATTGGTGGCCGGCCGTCTTTCCTCTTAAATATAGATACTCATGTGGATGGAATTATTTAATGTATTATTTATTCCCTGTGGTCTTCTTGTCTCATCATATTGCTTAGAGTTTGACCAAACAACTCAGCTCATGCATGTGCAGAGAAAGAACACTTTGCTTACATGCTGTGATAAAAGAGTTCCTATGGTCAACTTGGGCACTTGATGAGGAAACAATGTACATGGGCAACTCCACATGAAGGGTATGATGCGTCATTTACAAGTTCGATCTTGGGATGCATTACATCTAGTCACTCATATTTCAAGTTTGAGAAAGATTGAGCTGTCAATCGGATGCTTAATTTATTTCCTCATTGCATATTTCGTTCCTTAACAATCCGGTATAATTTTTTTAATGCGAGGTTTTACTTTCGATCCACGGTATAACCGTCATCATTTCTACACATCGATGTATCCACATCGACACAAACATTAATGAGATGTTAGCGCCTATTCAACAACTTTGGTCTCTTAGCCCCATAAATGGTCCTGAGTCACATACTTATCTTCGTCGCTATGTTCTTAAATCTCACTTAGTAAATATAAATACTAATAGGTATAATGTTGGTCATCGCTCCGCTTTTGCCCCAGTAGGCCCAATTGGTAGTGTCACTAGCTTACTTGCAATATCAGGCTCTATTGCCACTAACAACTATCGAGGTTCCCCGACCTGGCGTGATGCTAACATCCCAAGAGTGCCCAAGGCCTATCAAACCATTAGTTAGTGGGACACTTTAATCTCTAATTATGGAATTCAATGGACTGCACCACCCTCAGTATACGCTACGTGAATCCAAAGCCTGGTCAACATACTCGATAGAGGATTCCCCATGAATCCAACTATAGTAAATGGATCGACTTTTAGAGAAGATGCAAAGAGAGCTCCAATAATCAAAAGGGGAAGCGCTAGTCGACTCTACGTTGGGTCGGTCGTTGTTCACCCAAAAACTCTAGGAGGAACTGATTTCAATGAGCTTCCACCTCTTGTCCTTCGAGGTGTTCGATAGTAATATCGATCTGATATAGCACATTATAATTTTTCATGCCCAGATGTCAACACCTTGAACATCTTAATGTGCCACACCTTCTCGACTACATTAAAAGGTCGAGCATAAAAATGGTATGTACATTCGCCTAAAGCTACTTTTTATATACTTGATGAGGGAGTTTGAACTTTATTTTCTTAGGAACGTATACCCTTGGCCTTCAACAACAACACTCATCAAACTTAGGTAGTAGGGGGAGGAAAAAATGCTCACAGACTTTGTCGCTTGGTTCATAAATAAGATTCGAGACGTAGTAGATGCTCATACATCACTCATAATACAAATATTCATAATGTGGCTTAAGCCCTATCGTCTCTTTTAGTCATTGATAGAGAGATCACCATCGTGTTATAGACTTAGTTGAAATTGTCTAAGTCATGAGGCACCCTTGCGGTAAAGCCACGAACTTAGCTGGAGTTGCTCAAGTCGTGAAGCACTCTTATGCCAACTTCTCGAACTTAGTTGAGATTGCCTAATTTATGAAGCACCCTTGCGATATGCGTCCATAAAGGGTCAGCCTATTTGTAATCTTGCTAAGATCTTGTAGGACCTATAAAACAAACAAGTTGATTAGTTTGAAAACGAGCGATAGATAAGTTCTGATGTCTCCTGAAGAGGGCAACTTTATAAGCAATTCAACAAACACTTTGTGTGCAAGAGAGAAAAAAGAGGAATAAAAAAATAAGGACTTTAGAAGGCAAAACAAGCAGTCGTAAGTCCACAAATGATTGCCCATCGGGTGTCAAGCGTGATGGCAAATTTCATCAACTCAACGTGTGAACTTGTGTAAACCGATCAATACATGACACTACCTTGAAGCCCTATCCACCCCTGTGCCACCCAGGGGGTTCCAGTGGTCTGAGATAGCTGATGTTTCGCATTGCATTACAATATATAGAAAATAGATTGTGACATGTGAAAACGGAGCCATTTTAGGATAGTTTTATCTAGTATAGTGAGTGGTCACAGTATAGTATTGCGAACTGTTCTTGCTTGTATTTTCAATTAAAAATATAAAACCAAGGCAAAACATGCTACTAGACATCTGTACAAGCATACAAAAGTGACGAGCGATTCATTAAGTGAAGATGTTACGGGTGCACGATGATCGTTCATGACAAGCGACTGTACCTAAGGTACTTCAAAAGGCTAATCAATACATTACTGTCAAGGCAATGGTCTCAGGCAAACACAAGAAGTTACGTAAGAGGCCAAAGCAAGAGTGGTTATAATTAGCCCCGACCTCAAGATCACCTTAACGGAGAAGAAATGAATGATCCGAGCTACCTCACCTAATGTCCGAGTTGACCCATTTAAATATGACTAAAATTAAAAGGATATTTATGTGACCCTAACATAATGAAGATCCCATTAATGAAAAGAGATATGTCAAAGTACCATCGGTTCCAATGAGGTTATGATAACAACATTAAAGATTGTCATAACTTAAAAGAGTAGATTGAAAAGCTTATATATTAAGGACATCTCATGTGATTCATTTGAAAGCACCGGGAACACTCACCTCGATCTCAAATGGGGAGACAATTCATTAGCCTATAAGTCTTATGCTTGAGCTACCACTGAAATGCACCCGAGGATGAAGGGTGAATCGAAAGTAACTTACAAAGATAAAGATACAGAGTACTTCGACCCAAATCATAATAATGCCCTAGTAGTCTCTATGAGAATGATCTACACTTAAGTGAAAAGGGTCATGATCGACATAGGTAGCTCTATTGATATCCTTTATTTTGATAATCTTCAAAAACTTTGGTTGCCAACTGACGATACTCCAATGACTTTTTCGATGATGGGGTTCACCAACGACTCTATCTCACCTTTCATGATTGTGAATCTACATGTCATAAGCAAAATGTGGTGTATGAATTACGAAAACTCAACCCTCATAAGAAGAAATCCATTATGACTAAGGCATAAAAAAAATGCTTGAGACACATAAGCCAAGAAAATCCAACTCAAGTGAGAAGAAACTTATCACGATGGAAGACACAAGATAAAATATATCTAAGGCACGTGAGTCAAGAAAACCTGATTCATATGAGAAGAAACTTACCACAATAAGAGGCATAAGACAAAATATACCCCAAGCGTGTGAGTCAAAAAAGCCTAATTATATGAAAAGAAGTCACCACGGCTAGCATATAAAGGAAGAGATGCCCAAGGTATGCTGGTCAGGAAAGCCCGTGCCACCTATTGAGGTGAAAAAGATCGGGCACCCCGTCCCCATCACCATTGAGGTGCGAGGGTTAATAAACATAACCTCCCCTCACTGTTGAGGTGTGGAGGTCAAACACTCTAACCTCCCTCGCTATCGAGGTGGAGAGGTTAGGAAATCTGACCCCCCTCTTGTTGCCAAAGTGTGGAGGTCGGGAGCCCTAACCCCCTAGCTCGCCGTCGAGGCATGAGGCACTGACGTCGAGCTTCCTAACCCCTCCTTGTTATCAAGGTGCAGAGGTTAGGCGCTTTAACCTCGCCCCCCTCTACCGAGTCATAGAGGTTAGGTACTTTGACCCCCCATCACTCGGGGTATGGGGGTTGGGAAACTTGACACCTCATGTTGTCGAGGTTCCTGGGTTGGGAAAACACATCCTGCCTCAACTCACCAAAGCCATGTCGAGGTCAAAGCATGGGTCCCTCTCATAACCCACCTCAATGACGAGCATAGGAGGAGCCCACCTCGACTCCTCCTATGACTAGCCTTGACGACGAGTAGGAGAGGAACCCACCTCAGTGATGGGAGAAAGAGGTGACCACCATGGTTATTCCTAGAATCCGCCTTAGAGACAAGCAACGAAGGAGCATGCCTTAGCGCTTGTAATAAGTCGATCATAAGCAAGCTTACTCTGTCTAAAGTTGGTTTCTCGATAGATCGAGTAGGCCAACCATATTCTCTATCACTCTAAATAGGCATCTTAACGACTCCTTCCCCCAACCTTTGCATGGGACACGTGTTGGATAAGTTG